TATATATAAATTAAAATAAATCAATATTAAAATTATCATGAACTGTTTATAATAGAGAATGAAAAATCAAAAATAACGTCAGCAGAATTTTTTCGTCTCTCTGAGCGCGTCAGCACTTTTTTTGTCTAGAATCCTGAGTATAAGACTGTCGATATTTTCTTATATCAGACTATCTTTTCATTATTTCACATAAATTTAATCTACGATGCAAGATTATTTATTCCAAAAAAACACACACACATATATATATATATATATATATATGCATATACGTGGTTTTGCAGAATCTTTATTTTAATAAGTTAATTTAATCTTACTTAAGTTAGTTGACATAGGTAATTTTTAACTTGAATTAGTTAAAAATTAACTTATCTAATTCCCCAAATAAAACTAATTGCAGATGGAAACATATGAAATTATAAACTCGATATAAATCTGTAGAGAATTAAAAATAAATAAATAAATAGTTAAAACGTAAATGTAGGACATTTATAAGATTGCACGCATTAAGAAATGTCTAAATTGTTGCCCAAATATTAAGAAGAATTTATATTATAATACGAAGCATTTCTAATAATTGATATTATGCACAAAAATGAATATAAATGCAATTGTGTGAAAAGAAATCCGATTAATGATTACAAATTATAGATTAAAGAAGGTTCGAATTAAACTCCCGAGACATAATTGAAAGCGCGTTTATCATATCGCAACGGAATTGGATAAACATTCGCACTCACCAAATTTATCGTTCCTTTTTCATTACGTGAAGGCAGTAGCACACATGGACGAATTCAGTTTCGAAAACGACCAGGAACTTTTTGTGCGTGTTTCGCAAAGTTATAACTCAATAAGAATAAGAATTAATTCTTAAAATGTAATTATATCTCGATAATGCTGCCTCCTGATTTTAGAATTCTCTCGAGACGATCTTGAGCTCCACCGAACGTAATTTCCACGAATTCATAGACGACATCCCGAATATCCTTGTGACTAACAATTTTGAATGTAAATTTAAAAACGAGGAGACAAATGGAGATAAAATCCACATGCTCTTCAATAAATTCTCAACGTCATCCGTTAGCGCTTTGAAAAGTTACGTGCTTTGCAGCAAATTTCCTATTTTAATCTGCTGTTAGTATGTGAAGTGTAAAATATATGTCATATATATATTTCTTATATA